TTGATGAAGATGAGTGACTGACGTCAATAAACGTAAGTATGACGTCGTTGGACTTTGTGCATCAATCAATTTGACAATATCAACGAAATAACGCCTAACACATTATTCACAATATAGACTGACGAATTACTATTCTGCTGTTTTGAGTGATGATAACTTTTTATTGCGTTTCATCACCAAATCTGAACGTCATTTTGATGAAGATGAGTGACTAACGTCAATAAACGTAAGTATGACGTCGTTGGACTCGTCATTCATAACGTCATACGACGTGAAGACATCACTGAAACGTCATTTGGTTGCCTGGGATAGTAACTATATATATTCATCAGAACCACCTTATTGATGAGCTCTACTCACCGTTGAAATTCTTTCGTTTCTCAATGGGACACCCTACTGTTAATGAGTCTAAACACTTCACCAACACTCGTTTGTTAATAGAACTGCAAAGCTTTGGAATTTGTTGATAGAGGAAGTACACTCAGTTCCAAAAAAGTGACGCACTTGATATTTGACCTATCTTCTTAAGAAAAAAATAGTAGGCCGATTTTTATTTTTTTTTATTTGTTGGTAGGTAATGCATTTGTCTTAAAAAAAAGAGGTGTGTGTTAATTGAGTAATGGTATAGAAATAAGTGCTTACACCCTATACGAAAGAGGCTTCTTTTGCGAGCATTTTGTTTTTTTATTCATTGATGATTCATCTCTAAAATTTTCCGAATTACAGCTTTTTTTTGCAGAATCCTTGCGGATTACCAACTTTCTGAATTTATCGAGAAAAAATTTTTCAATGAAATAAACTGATACCAATAATTTTAAAAACATTTTTATTAAACACAAAATTATAAATTGGGATGACTGCTTAATACCGTGTATTGCCTCCTCTAGCAACTCTAAGAACTTCTAATCTCTACGAGGCATACTGGAAATTAAGTTGCTTATCGTTTCCATTGGTATACGATCCCATTCGTCCACTAATGCATCTGCCATTTCTGCGAGACTTTCCGGAGACCTCTCGCGAGAACGTACCTTTCTCCCTAATTCATCCTACAAATGTTCTATACAGGGTGTTATTTAAGTACGTGGCCAAACTTGAAGGGGTGATTCTTTGAGTGATTCTAAGACGAAAAGTTCATATAAACATAGGTCCGGTAATGCTTCGTTTTCAAGATACAGGGTGTCAAAATTTTTAAAAGAAATCGTTTTTTTCGTGAATATCTTAATAACCCTTCAACCGATTTTATTGAAATTTGGCAGTGTTATTCAAGGTCGTTGAGGGCTAATTTAACCCTAACTATTTCAAAATTATCATGTCCAGTGGCGTCCCGGAAGGCACTGTAACCAATATTTTTGACAGAAAAAATGTGCGCCACTAATTTTTTAGCAATTTTTGTATTTGTTTCACATTGAGCAACTAAAATTTCAACTTTTTTGTATCTAGAATTTTCTTCGTATCTTGCTTTGTTTTTGAGAAAAAACATAAAAATCACTTCATTGCACATCCCTGCACACAATAAAACATTTCAACTACTAAACCATCAAAAACTGGGGTCTTACTAATATTTTTTCATATTAATACTCTATTCTAGTCTTGGAATTTTCTATCAAAATTAATGCAATGAGAAAACAAAAAATATGTATGTATGAATTGCAGCACTTGCCTTCGACTCTAGGCTTCGGCTCGTCACAGGGATGTGCAATGAAATGATTTTTATGTTTTTTCTCAAAAGAAAGCAAGATACGAAAAAAATTCTAGATATAAAAAAGTTGTAATTTTAGTTGCTCGATGTGAAACAAATACAAAAATTGCAAAAAAATCAGTGGCGCACATTTTTTCTGTCAAAAATATTGGTTACAGTGCCTTCCGGGACGCCACTGGACATGATAATTTTGATATAGTTAGGGTTGAATTAGCCCTTCACGACCTTAAATAACACTGCCAAATTTCAATTAAATCGATTGAAGGGTTATTAAGATATTTACGAAAAAAACGATTTCTTTTAAAAATGTTGACACCCTGTATCTTGAAAACGAAGCATTACCGGACCTATGTTTATGTGAACTTTTCGTCTTAGAATCACTCAAAGAATCACCCCTTCAAATAAGTTTGGCCACGTACTTAAATAACACCCTGTATATAGGATTCATATCGGGTCTTCTCGCAGGCCATTATAATATGTGGTAATACCAGTAGCTTCTAAGAAGTTTCGCACTATTGCTGCGCTGTGTGGTCGGACATTATCCTGCATCAATATAAAATTAGGCTCAAGTTTCGTTTAGCTGAAATCAGTTATGAAAAAACTGTTGCCGTGGCAACGATCGTCATGATAACGAGTAAACAAAAACATGATTCCCGTGGTGAGGAAATGCGTGGTTGCCAAGTTGTATTGGGTTTAGTTTGGCTGAAATCAGTTATGGAAAAACTATTGCCATGGCAACGATCGTCATGGTAACGAGTAAACAAAAATCCGATTTCCATGGTGAGGAAATGCGTGGTTGCCAATTTGTATCGGAGAATGATTGCTTCATTCATTAATTTCAAAAACACTCTTCAATGTAACCATTCTTCGCGTGCCGAGCTATTCGACAAAATCAAAAAGAAACAGAGCCATTTTGGAATATTCAGCAACAGTCTTCAAACATACACGAACGATGCCTTGCTACCAAATCTGAACGATGTTGGAAAATATGTTTTTCAAGAAGAAGGTTAATTTAAGTCGAGTCAGGTTAGATTGTTTGGAAAAAGTAGTGTCCTTTTTTATGCAGTCTTCAAACACACACGAATGATGCCTTGCTACCAAATCTGATCGATGTTGAAAAATATATTTTTTCTAAGAAGGTTCATTTAAGCCGAGTTAGATCAGATTGTTTAAAAAAAGTAGTGTCCTTCCTTATGCGCTATTCGTTCCGCATTATTTTGTTGCTCGCTATTTTGTCTAGCTCTGTTCAATAACAAAGCCAATTTTTTCCTGACGTTATTTCCATATATATGATCGTCAGAGAAGTAGTAATTTGGGAATTAATCAACGACGAAACAGTCTTCAAGAAATTGATAAGAAGGGTATTCATTCGTATCAAGTTATTGTTCGAATACTAGCAGAACAAAAGAGGGTCGAAGATTGCGCTAATTTCAGCTATACTAACCCCGATACAACTTGGCAACCACGCATTTCCTCACCACTGGACTCGGAATTTTGTTTACTCGTTACCATGACGATCGTCGCCATGGTAATAGTTTTTCCATAACTGATTTCAGTCAAACTAAACCCAATACCACTTGGCAACCACGCATTTCCTCACCACGGGGTCCGGGTTTTTGTTTACTCGTTATCATGACGATCGTTGCCATGGCAACAGTTTTTCCATAACTGATTTCAGAAATACTAAACCCGATACAACTTGGCAACCATGCATTTCCTCACCACGGGATTTTGTTTTCTGTTTACCTGTTACCATGACAACGGTTGCTATAGCAACAAATTTTCCATAACTGATTTCAGCTGAACGAAACTTGAACCTAAAATTATTGCCCACTAACTCTGCATAAGGTAAGACATACTGCTCTAAAATGTCAATGTGAATTTAGGCATTCATCGACTGCCTCACCGGAAAAACATTCATTGAAATCCCTCCCTACACCATAACGGACCCACCATTAAAACTTTCGCATTCTGTTATTAAATTTTGATTAAACCGTTCACCACTTCTTCTCCACACTCTTTTTCTTCCATCCACCATGTTAGGGCAAAACCTTGACTCATCCGTAAACAAGACATTCGACCATTCACGAATATTTCACTGTCCATAATTTTCAACAAAATTTCTTCTAGCAGCACGATGTTCGGGCAATAATTTGGGACCTTTTGCAGGTCTCCTAGCTTTTAAATTAACTTCTTTTAGACGTCAACATACCGTCTGCTCACTCACTGCAACATCACGAATTTGGCGAAGATCTTGCTGAACATTTACCGCAGTATTTGATCGATTCCGTAAAATCCGCAATCTCAAGAAGCGATCATCTCTTGGAGAAGTTTTTCGGGGGCGACCAGAACCGACCCTCCGAGCGGTGCTTCCTGTTTGTTCGTACGTGCGGATTTCTCTACGTTCATGAACTCACTGCACGAGCGGCGTAACGTTTACTACGCCCATCGTTTACTAACGTAACTAATCTTGCTACTTGGTCAGGATTTATTTGAGGCATTTTATGTAATTTTAGTCAATAAAACAAGACACTTAATTAATGACACAACGACAAATGGTCAAATATGGAGGCATACAACAACTTAGTTGCTATGGCAACGGCATTTGTTTTTTTAAAGACAATGTGATCCTACCAGAGTACAACCCAATCAATCTTGAGTACTCTGATCCTTCAATAAATTCAATTTGTGGGATAAGCGTAAGGTATCAGCAAAAAAGCTGTAATTCGGAAAAATTTTGAGATAAATCAATAAATAAAAAAACAAAATGCTCGCAAAAGAAGCCTCTTTCGTATAGGGTGTAAGCACTTTGTATACTAGCACTCAATTAACACACAGGGTGAGTCAAAAATTAAGAGTAAATCATGGTTCGAGTTATTCCACCACCATCAAGGAGGCTTTGAAAAAATTGTCACCTCTTTATTTTTTTTCAAAGACAAATGCATTACCTACCAACAAATAAAAAAATAATCGGACTACTATTTTTTTTTAAAGAAGATAGGTCAAATATCAAGTGCGTCACTTTTTTTGGAACTGAGTGTATTTATTCCATGGCCCTCCAAAAGTTGATTTTGTTTTTCGATCGCGCTTCTATAAAAGTTAGTGACAATTACAGCCTGAAAGTAAAGTCCTTAAATGCGACAATATTCCCCAGTGTAACTGAGATGACTTTCATTTTGGAGATAAGGCTACAGCTTATCAACTCTAACTTACTGTTATTCACCGGAAATACCCTATTGATGTTATAGGAACCCTTTAGAATAGAGGATAGATAGAAAACAATGAAAATATACACGCCGATATAAGAAAAGTACAAAAATAATTTATTTAACAATGAATAAACACAAACAAAATTTAAAAGCACTTAAAATACTATCTTACTAATAATTAATTGTTCAACTTTTATTATGCTTCATACGAACATCAAGAATTCCAAACGCCAAATCGGTCAATTGGTATAATAAACATTATATAATATCAGGTTTGAGGATGTGTTCTATGAACTCTATACGAAAATCAGATTCTAAATGTCAAATTGGTCAATTGGTAAAATTAACATTATAATATCAGGTTTGAAGATTCCATATATGGCATGTATGAACATTTTACATTATTTTCTTACAAAAATGCACATCACAACACAATTTCAATACAATTTGTAGAATAACATAATGATAAAAATGCACTTAAAATATAATAAGAATATATCCTGAGATTCAAAATACTGTGATCAAAATAGACTGAACATATCACATTTTCAGAGTTTTTTTCATTTCCATATTCTTCCGCTTAGTTTCTTCCATCAATTTGTAGAGTTCTGATCTATCTAATAATCTGTCCATCTCACTATCGGACACTTCAAAGGTACTACTTTCTGCTCTCAAAAGTTTCTGTAATTCATGAAGCTCTCTCTCCGCGTTTGTCCTGTCATTTGATTTCAAACTTTGAAATTTTCCTGAAAAAAAGGACTTGAATAGGCATTTGCTTCCACAGCACCCATATACAGGGTGATTCTGTAGTGCATTTAAATCATTCAAGGGCGCATTGCTGACGTTAAAACAAGAAGGAATCTTCCTATAATGTAGAGTCTCTGGATGGTATTAGTTTGATAAGAGTTCGGACACAGCTGAACTTTTGTCCTTTTCTATTTTCTATAATACAATGGTTTAAGTGAATAAAAGAATAAGACATATATTCTGCTCTTTGTCTTTTCAATTTCCCTAGTAGCGCCTGATTGTCAGATACGATTTTAGAGGTTATATTTTCTGTCAAATCAATCATAGCCGTAGATGGACAATGGATATAGGGTACTCACTTCAATTCATTGTGATACACTTCTAGCAGAGCAAGATTTATATAAATGAAAAAAAAAATGCATGTAACAACATTTTGATATCAGAGAATATATACATATGGATAAACTTATAGCTATGATTCCTTATTGTATGTGGAACTGTACTCTAGTGAAGTATTCCTGAGTTAATTTTAAGAAATAAAGTCTATATAAGCTTGTGTCTGGAAATGCTTTATTTCGGAGATACAGGGTGTTGAAATACAGAGAACAAATCATTTTTCGATAAAGATTTCATGGAAGAAAAGTAATTTATTGTGGCGAGACCTACCAAATACTTGGTTTTGTTAAGTTCTCAGCAACTTCACTTAGCGCCCTAGGAGCTAAGTAACATGGATCGATATAGGAAATATCTCCAAAACGATAACCTCCAGCGTAATTAAGGCCCTTATAATAATTCCCTTGATACATAAATATCTATTCACTTTTCACTGTTGAATTTTCGCGGTCAGTACTAAAACGCCATTCAATATAATATATCACGTTGTAGTTTACTTGCTTTTCTTAGTTTTGTTTTCAAATTTTCAATTTCATTATGTAATTTTACGATCATTGCCTATCTTTCCATGATTATTTTGTTTTGTATTTTGTGTGATGATAATAATGGAATTTAGTTCTTGAAATCGTCTGCTCTGTAAATTGATGAAAGAGCAGATTTTGAAATCTTCTGTTTGAAAATGGGCCTAAAAAATAGATTCATTCTAATCAGATGCTGTTATAAGAAGTGAGTTTCAATGAGTACCTCACAAATTCCGCTCGTCTTCAAATTGATTTTCCACCCAGGTCTTTTCATATCTTCATTCCATAAGCGAATGCTGGATAATTGATTTGGAAAATCGAATAAATGATATCCATTTGTTTCAAAATTGGCACAATTTATTATACAGTAAGTGATTTCCATAGCTGCTTTTATCTCGAAAGTATAATTATTATGAAATTTTATTTCAATTCTGACGTTTATATAATGAATTGTCAAATTCAAAAAATTTTGAATGAGAAAGCGCCGGACGACTATGGTGCTCTTGTCACAATGCAAGGTGTGTAACTTTATAAATCTAAACATTCAAAAACCCTAACTGTTGTCATTTCTGTGTCCGAACTCTTATCAAACTAATATCCAGTGACTCTACTATAATGTATGTCCGAGAGTTGGTCGTTTTCTATATCCAGGGCGATAAGCTTTATATGAAGAAACGGTCGTAAAATGTCTCACTATTACAAAAAGGCAATCTTTTTGAGCCCTAATTTCTCACCCCAATTCCCACATTATTGCCGCAATACGTATTCGAAATATTAGTAACATCATGCAGTACATATACCAAGTTTATCTATCAACCTGTATATTGAAATAGTGATTCATGTTTCGAGAGCTTCTAAGGAGGCGAACTTTTTTTCATATTTTGATTGAAATGACAATCAGAAATATTCTTGCACTCACATAGCTCTGGGGAAAAAACGGTTTGCGACAGTGAACCAGTTAGGGTTCGTACTTTGAAGTAATCAAATACATAGATGAAAAACCCAAAGTCATCTCCACAACTTTCATTGAAATGATCAAAGATCATCAATGGTACATGTTTCGGGCTTATATAAGCCCATCATCAGCCGATAAAATAGTTCAAAGTTCTAGAAAAAACCGGTATTGACTTAGGATATAATGCAATGATTGATTACTTACATGGAAGTGAAAAAAGTTTAAATTCAAATAACGTGGACAATAACAGAGCAAACAAAGGCAACTGCTCCATGATCTGGAATACAAACAGTTGAATAGATATGTAAAGGAAGTTCAGAATCGGAAAACTTACTGTTAATGTAAAATTGTGTTTTTATAAAAAAGTATAAAAATTTTAAAATTCTTGAAATGGTCATTTAAGGGTCGGGTTCATATTTTATAAGGGCCCACGTACCCTTAAATCACCGAAAAGTGGCGATTACCCAAGAAAATATCAAACTAATGAAAAGTATGATGTGGCTTCGGAAATAACCAGCTAAATAGGAGGAATTACATGTGCAGTGACACTGACACCACAAAATTTCAACTGTCAAATGTCAAGTCACCCAGATCATGGAACACAAAAATAGATACATGGAGATAATAGATATTGATGGATGATACAACACCAGAGAACAACACTACGTCAGATTGGCAACAAAATTAAAAATCAAGATTGGTTCATATTAGAAGGCTTGAAACCGCCGACCTACCCTACAACAAAGAGCAAGGTAAGAGGGAAACATAATACAGCTATTTAGCAAAATTCAGTGAATGGGCTTATATCACAAAAAAAAATTATTTCATTATTCGATAGAACTCACCCAAACTAGCTCACCACTGCAAACCGTTTCTTGCTGTGAGCTCCCTACGTTTTATAAAAAATTATTGAAATCCCCGATTTTTCGGACCTCTGAAAACAAGGCGATGATGTGACGTCAAAACCCTAATACTGAAACAAGACTATTCCAGGCAGAGATGAATGATACATGATTTCTGACAGAGTGAATAAGCGCGAGATCACAGTTGAAAGAATTAATATATCAGTTGCCTCAGTCTCCGTCGGGCGTTTGGTATTTTCTTTTAACTATGGCAAGATGAGGTTTCTACGTCATAAGAGGGTCCGTTTTCAGAAGGTACTATTATTTATGTCCAAAAATAAAACATTCCGGTTAATTTTTCGATCGAATTATGTCGTCAATCATTATTTATGTATAAAAGGATCATTATAAACATGGTTTGAGTTAAAAGTTCTACTAAGGTGTACACGCCCATTGAAAAATTCAAATTAAAAATCAAGATTGGTTCATATTAGAAGGCTTGAAACCGCCTACAACAAAGAGCAAGGTAAGAGGGAAACATAATACAGCTATTTAGCAAAATTCAGTGAATTGAAAAATCAATCGTTGATTGAGATCTATTGCAACGGAAGACATTGTTATAATGTAATTATAGTTCGTTTTCAGAAATATCACTGCTTAGCCAACTTTCTAACAAGATAATTATGTCATAATTGGAACATGTCATTGCTGTGGTTAACTGCATGGGCTTTGTTCTTAATCCGCCAACGTTATGGCAATACACTTGCAACGGGGTTTTGTTTAGTTTTTTCTATTTTTTGATTTTTGCTAAATCACCGGAGTTCCTTTATGAAATATGATCTCTATATTACGTTCGCCTATTTCAATTTTCATAATAAATGCTTCTTTATTCTTCTTGAAGTATTGACGTTGGGTACGAGTCTGATCCGCACTCAAACGAATGAAACGAATAGGAATCTTTTCAGTTACTAGTTACTAGTTTCCTTCTATTGTTCAGGTAGTTTAAAGCGATATCATTATTCAGAAATTTTTATCAAATTTGATTCTCTCTGAATATTCTTGAGCTCAAGATTCTCGAACATTATATAAAATTATATATTTGGACCTGTCTATCCTGAATTTCTCTATAAAAAGTTTCACCATCAACTTGTAAATGCTTTTGAGAATCGATACTTTTTTCATTCCTCTAACTTCATGCGAATTCTCAATGCATTGCTTGGATATCCTCTTCAAGCTAATTGATTTTCCTGGCAAGAGACGGAATTGTGTTCACTCAACACGGAGGACAATAAAAAGGCATTATCCTCGTAGGTATCACTACTGCTCTCATTAATACAAAAATATGTCACCCTTGTCTTCCCTGGAGAAACACTCGGTTGCACATTTGAAGCAATTACCAGACATTGTAGATATTTTTTATACGCCACTGGTAGCCCTTCAAGATCCCGCGTCTGGCTAAATTTCTTATCAGTTCTCTCGGGTTCGAGTTTTTGTATGTTTGCTAAGTATCGTTTATATTTTCATTCTAGAACCTCTATTTCACTTGCACTATTTGTATTACATAACATGCATCTATGCGTCTGAAACCACCAAAAGATTTTAAACAGTGTGCGTAGTTTTGAAGCTGAATTTAACCTCCTTATTTCAATGCAATAAATTGCTGAAATGACTGCTTTATTACTCTCGCAAAATTCGACCCCTTCACTCAAAGCGCATGACAGAAAAAGCTAACTCTTAAAATAAATCGAATCCTCACCATCCTTGATGACTAATTTCTCCAATATTCTCTTTTGATATCCCTTGTCAATGACTTGTTCATCAATGGTGTTTTTTGTTACTAATGTATAAACCATGACTGGTCTTGTTTGTCCAATACGATGACATCTATCTTGGGCCTGAATATCAGCTTGAGGATTCTGGAAAACAACACATTATATAGCTAAGAAAGTGGTATATTCTGTATGAGTATGAAAAGATAATGGGTGCCAGAAATATTATCATTACATTATTATATTACTACATTTACATTATTTCCGTTGATGACAATGTAAAATTTGTTAGCTATGCTGATGATACAATGGTTCTCTTGAATGATGTAAGCTGGAAAGGAGCATTCGATAAGGCATTAAGTGTTTTAAAAAAATCAGAATTTTACTCCAGTTGCAAGAGGGGCAAAAAAGGACTGCAACCATACATTAAATCAGGTAGTCCTGATGTTTTTATATGTTGTTCGGGATGGTTAGAGAGTGATAACCCTGAGTTTTCATCATCCCCACCCCTCTAAGTTTTCCGCTATCTTGAAAAAACAACCCAAAAAACAGCACTTTTTCCAGTTTTTCGCTTATAACTCCTAAACGGCGCATGATTGCCAAATGCATCATATTCAGTCTTGTTGAATATAAAATTCCCTACAAGAATCACTGGTTCACTCTGTTTCCACGACCAATAGCAAAGGAGGTATAGAGCAATAAGAATGAATTAATTCGCAATTCAAGAAAAATTGCCATTTTTCTGTCCTTTTGGACCGCTCAAATTCTATGAAATACTGGTTTAGAGTAAATATGTATTCAAACTGAATGTGGAGATGTTAGTTGTCTGAAATGTACGTGTCGAAAAGTTTTTACCACCAATATCAAGGGTTGAGGGTCAAACTAACGAGATACCGGAATCATGTAATTTTTGTCCAGTTGCCCAGAAGTGTTGTTCAGTCATGTCTTTTTTTCAACTACTTCCTCACTCACTTTCTAATGATAAAATATGAATAATGAAAGTAACTAAATATTATTTGTATAAAATGTATCAATGAAGAAAGAATGTTATGTAATAACAAAATAAAATAAGCTTACCCAATCTCTATCGAAAAATATCACAGTATCAGCGCCTGTTAAATTCAATCCCAGACCACCGGCTCTTGTGGAAACCAGAAAGGCCAATATGTCGGGATCATTATTGAATTCATTTATGGCCTCGCCACGTTCCTGCAATCTAATAGCCCCATCGAGTCTACGGTAATTATAATCACGCATTATCATGAACTCTTCGATGAGGTCAAGGGTCATACACAATGTACTGAAAATCAATACCTGGAAAAAATAATTTGAAGAACTTGAATGATTTGCGATACTGTATCCGTTTATTGAATAAATAATAGTTATTTATGGTACTAGTGTGTTATGTTGAAAATAAGTCACGCGAGAAATATTTATACCACTCGGCCTATCAAGTGACTTAGGAAACATAACACAAGAGTGGCATACAATGTTTTATCCAACAAGTGGAAGAAATCGTTTTTTCATGAGATAATAATTAATAAGTTTTGTGATCAAATCAAAGCTACCTGCGCCTCAGTACCCTATAAATGTCAGAATTACTTGACAGTGACTTTTTTTACATTTTGGTTAAAGTAGGTTGTTTGTTAAGTTACCAAGGCATGATACATTGTTAGCAAATGTTCAAATGAATCTTGACACTCGTCAGTTTTCCCTGCAGAAAAAGGAAACTTTTTGTAAGAAAAAAAAACGTATAGAAAATGGAGGAAACCGATGAAAATTACGATCCTGAAGGTATCCTTACGGAACCGGATGAAGCAGCGATGCAGATTTTGCCAGAAAAGTCCCGAGATGCTTTCGACAAGGAGTTCAAACTTTGAGTCTTGGATGAATTCACGGAAGATGAAAGGTATGGATGAAAACGTTCTATTGGCTTATTTTTTTTGCAAAAAAAATTAACCCCATCGTCGTTATGGACCAAATACTCGATGCTTCGCTCGACTATTCACCTTTATAAAAAAATCGACATTTCAAAATATGGTAAACTAAGGAGCTTTTTGAAAAACAAATCACAGGGATACAAACCAAAGAAGTCCAAGACATGAAATAGAGAAGTTTTTGAACGAAGCTCGCGATGACAGTACTTGTTGATGAAAGTGGCTTTGATAATGGCGATTAGCGGTGCTTGTAGATGCGATGAATTGGACAATTTGTAAATAGAAAATATTCAAGACAAAGGGAAATATTTTCACGTAGTTTTGCCAGAAACTAAAACCAAGAAATCGAGGAGTTTCACCATACTTAAAGAAGGATTTCCAGTTAACCCGATCAATTTGTGTGAAAAAAACATGTCATTGAGACCAGAGAATACTAGTTCTAGCCTCTTTTTTGTTATTTACGAAAATAAGAGGTGTACCAGCCAGTGTGTGGGAATAAATACGTTGTCGAAGATACCTTCAAGAATTGCAAAGTTTTTGAACTTGGAGGAACCAACGCTCTACACCGGTCACTGCCTGAGAAGTTCTACATGACTACTTTGAAGCGTCACGGAGGATGGGAGTCCTCGACGGTAGCAAAAAGATACCTAGAAGAATCGGTGCATAACAAAATACAAGGTTCCAATGTGTCGGCGTCTTCCAGCACTATCAGAAGCTGTACCGATATGTTAGCATCTGGTTCCAATGAACCAACGAATTTTACAATTACTTCAAATTGGAATAAACCGTTAGCGTTTTCCTTCAATATCAATATCTTGCTTGTAATAGAAATAAATAAATAGAATACTACTTTAAATACAAGTGAGTTAGTGAGAGTAGTGAGGACGTGTGAAAGTAATTCGTTTGGAATAACTATAGTTGGAACATGTACCTTATGTCCGTTTTTCTTAAGTTTAGACAGCATCACATCCAATACCATCATTTTCCCACTACTTGTAACTAAATTTTCATTAACAAGAAGAGCTTTTTTCTCACAATTTGGATCTAGAGGAAAATGCACTAAATAGGGATGATCGACAATCTTTCTAAACATCATCATTGAATTGTGCATGGTCAAACGAGTCACGAAAGGATATTGTGACCTTTCAATTTTCATATTCAACATTTTTTCTTCATTTTTCAGAAACTCCTCTTCATAATCGGAAAAATCGTCTTCTTCTACATTCTCGTAGTACGTACGTATTTTTGCACACTTGCGTTTTTTTCTAGGTTGCCATATATCCAACTAAAAAATATAATTCATTGTAGTAAGGGTAGGTACCAAAGATCTAACAATATAATACTCCAATAGATCTGCCCTTTCTTTGCCGTCCTGTACAATGCATTGAAAATCATGTAAAAAAATAGAAAGGGCCATCCATATGTGCAACAAAGACAGATATGATTTTACCCAACCATCAGGTGGTAGTTGCTCACTGTGTCACTCTTGTTTATCAAATTCATTGATTGATCATAGCCGTAGATGGACAATGGATATAGGGTTCAAACACCCACTTCAATTCATAGTGATACACTTCTAGCAGAGCAAGTATTATATAAATGAAAAAAATGCATGTAACAACATTTTAATATCAGAGAATACATATGGATATAGCTATATAGCTATAATTCCTTATTGTATGTGAAACTGTACTCCAGTGAAGTATTCCTGAGACAAATTTAAGAAATAAAGTCTATATAAGCTTGTGTCCGGAAATGCTTCATTTCGGAGATACAGGGTGTTGAAATACAGACAAATCATTTTTCGATGAAGATTTCATGGGAAAAAAGTAATTTATTTTGACGAGACCTACCAAATACTTGGTTTTGTAAAGTTCTCAGCAACTTCACTTAGCGCCCTAGGAGCTAAGTAACATGGACCGATATAGAAAATATCTCCAAAACGATAACCTCCAGCGTAATTAAGGCCCTTATAATAATTCCCTTGATACATAAATATCTATTCACTTTTCACTGTTGAATTTTGAATTTGGTCAGCACCAAAAACGCCATTCAATAATATATCACGTTGTAGTTTACTTGCTTTTCTTAGTTTCGTTTTCAAATTTTCAATTTCATAATGTAATTTTGCGATCATTTCCTCTTTTTCCATGATTATTTTGTTTTGTATTTTGTGTGATGATAATAATGGAATTTTGTTCTTGAAATCGTCTGCTTTGTAAATTGATGGAACAGCAGATTCTCTCAAACAGATTTTGAAATCGTCTGTTTGAAAATGGGCCTAAAATATAGATCCATTCTAATCAGATGCTGTTATAAGAAGTGAATTTCAATGAGAACCTCACAAATTTCGCTCGTCTTCAAATTGATTTTCCACCCAGGCCGTTTCATATCTTCCTTCCATAAGCGAATGCTTGATATTTGATTTGGAAAATCGAATAAATGATATCCATTTGTTTCAAAATTGGCACAATTTATTACACAGCAAGTGATTTCCATAGCTGCTTTTATCTCGAAAGTATAATAATAATTATGAAATTTAATTTCAATTCTGACGTTTATAAAATGAATTGTCAAATTCAAAAAATTTTGATTGAAAAAGCGCGGGACGACTATGGCTATATTTCGAATTCAGCTGACAGTACTGAATCAGCAGATTGTTCATTCCGAAATCAAAAAAATTCACTGAAAGGGAAGATACTTGTGAGTAGACATACTATTCATTCCAAATATTTCGACTCAACATCCTGCTGAAACTGCTGACTATCAAAAGGTAGTGTGGCTTCAGTGAACTGTCACTATTTTAGAGGGAGAAGGAATTTTACATTTATTTACATTGTTTTTCGAACATCAAGTCTTGTCTTATCAATATTACATTAATAATATCATATTTAATAACAGAAAATGCCTGTTATTGAAGTAATTTACGCTGAGAATGATATTCTAAATTCACCAGCTGATCAACTGCTGCTGATTACTGATAAAAACCATGAAAACGTGTTCCGAATTATGGCACTGTATTTCTGATTTTATATTTCGGAACACATATTTTCAGCAGAGTCAGTGGATTTACTGACAGTACTGACCAGTTGAATTCGGAATATAGCCTATGATGCTCTTGTCACAATGCAAGGTGTGTAACTCTATAAATCTAAACATTCAAAAACCCTAACCGTTGTCATTTCTGTGTCCGAACTCTTATCAAACTAATACGATCCAATGACTCTAGAAATACCTACCCAATGAAATGATTCCTATTATTGAACTTCGGTCATCAAAGGAGTTTAAAATTATTAGATAATTGGTTTATACATAAAAATTACAATTATTGTATGAAATATTCATTTTACCACTCACAGGCTCCTCCTCAACTTGACCCTTCAAAAGGGTAATATTTTTCTCAATGACATATGAATATAGATCCCTTTGCAATTTTGAAAGAGGACAATATATATTGATCTCCTTCTTAGGAACTATATCATTCAATACTTCTTTCTTCAATCTCCTCAATACAAATGGATCCAACACTCGATGCAAAGTTGAAATGATGTTCGTTTTTTCTACCTGATCTAACAACTTGTTCTCATCCTAAAATAATTAGAAATATAGTAATTTTGAATCAACTTTTCAGAAATTCGAGTCTAATTTCCTGATGAAATATTCATACCACAGCAAAATATGTGTCCTGCAAAAGAAGGTATTAATCAAGCTGAAAAATAGCCATTAATACAGGGTGACATTAAAATGAATACATATAAGGTAAACCCACGAGGGCTTGGATGACACCTTCAAATCAAAATGATATAGGTCAAAAAAAAATTGTGACAAGACCCCTTTTTCAGCCGACAGAACTGTGGCAATTTTGATCATTTCAACTGTCTTAAGGTGGCATACTCAATTTTTTTTTTCATTTTTTGGTCAATATTCATGATGAAATTTCTCGTCATGTAAAAAGAAACATTTATAATTATTTTATAATATTAGACAGACTGTATAATTTTGATGTGTTCAATACAAGGTGTTTCGGACTTGTAGTGACAAAAGCATTGGGGAGATTTCTCTCATCAAAATATGGAAACAAGTTTGATGAACATGGGTCCGAATATGCTGTGTTTCCAAGTTAAAAAAAATGGTTTTTCAATAATATTTTGAAAACGTTTAGGCCGATTCGAATGACATCTTCATGTTGACCTTCAAAGGGCTTTTGAAACTGTGGATCGAGATAGGTTGATTGAAAAACTAAGAAGTGTTTGCATCGAAGATAAAGCATTGAAATGACCAGCTAATTATTTTGATAGTAGAAAACAGAAACTAAGGATTAATAATATATTCTCTGAAGAGATAGAAAATAGTCATGAGGTTCCACAGGGAAGTGTTCTTGGGCCTTTAATGTTCCTAATATACATTAATGACATCGTCGAAGCAGCAGGAAACTGTGAAATCCACTTGTTTGCTGATGGCACTTTCTCTGCATCAGATCCAGCGGTTTTGGTACATGCTCTCAACAATTCAGAAAATCAAATACAAGAATGGTGCTCTGGAAATCTATTGAAAAATGGTAATAAAACCAAATTCATGCTCATTGCTAATGAAATAAATTATAATAATTTTCTTGTGGAGAAAATGGAAATAAAAATTAGTGATGAAATAATTGAGCGGGTAGAGAAATTCAAATACCTCGATATTATGGTTGATTATAGACTTACTTTCAAAGAGCATGCAAATTTTCTATAAAAACAATGTATTTCAAAGTAAACTTTCTCTATAGATGTTCAAGATATCTCAATCAATGGACCAAAAGGATTATCTACAACACTATCATACTTCCCTAGTTCACTTACTGCTCAACTATTTTAAAATTGTTCTCAAAAATTGATATACAATGACACAGTACCAGACTACCTGACAGATAAAGTGAACTATAATATCACCACTATGAAACGAGATCTAGAAGAGATTTCCACATTTCCCAATTCCAGACAAGATTTATTCAAAGAGCATTCAACGAATTGCCAACTGCAATAAAAAGTGCGCACTCTCTTAATTGTTTCAAAATCACTCTAGAAAAACATGTGTTGGAGGGAAGTAATCTCTAATATGCATGATTGATTCTATTTTATTTTTATTGTATAGTATATATGTAGTGGTGCTGTTCGATATATTTCTGTATTTTATGTATGTATTAGTTTTTATGACTAAATAAACGGATATATGCCAAGGTATTGTATTGTCCGTTTTTCTCGAAAACGACGCAAGAAACAAATCTTGCATTTTTATTGGGTTTATCTGAATGTAGCGAGTTTTCTGGCAAGTTGTGTGCAAAAAAAAACTAAGTAAAAATGTTAGTATTCTTAAAAATCAAACAGAAGAATCGAATAGGATATTGTTAGTTAATTGATTATACGTTCTAAGATTCCAATGGGCGTGTACACCTTAGTAGAACTTTTAACTCAAACCATGTTTTTAATGATTCTTTTATACATAAATAATGATTGACGACATAATTCGATCGAAAAATCAACTGCAATGTTTTATTTTTTTACATAAATAATAGTAACTTTTGAAAACGGACCCTCTTATGACGTAGAAACCTCATCTCGCCATAGTTGAAAGAAAATATCAACCGCCCGACGGAGACTGAGGCAACTGATATATTAATTCTTTCAACTGTGATCTCGCGCTAATTCACTCTGTCAGAAATCATGTATCATTCATCTCTGTCTGGAATAGTCTTGTTTCAGTATTAGGGTTTCGACGTCACATCATCGCCTCGTTTTCAGAGGTCCGAAAAATCGGGTATTTCAATAATTTTTTATAAAACGTAGGGAGTTCACAGCAAGAAACGGTTTGCGGTGGTGAGCTAGTTTGGGTGAGTTCTATCGAATTATTAAATAAAAAAAGGTTTGTGATATAAGCCCATTCCATCACAAACTTTGCAGCAAGAATATTCATCAGGAAATTACAGCAGGAATTAGAAAATATTATTATTGGAGTACATAGTCATTTACCTGTACATCTTCTAACATGAGGAGTGAGGCAAAAGTATCCATATTATTGAAAATGTGTGGCATTAGGAAATTTAGTAAGGCCCATAGCTCAGTAATGCTATTATGCAAAGGTGTACCCGTTAGTAACAATCGATTCGCTGATGTAAGTGATCTCAAAATTCTGAAAATTATAGAAAATATAGAATCAGAAAAGTTCAATATGATATGATATTACAAATCACAAACTACAGAAAACGAGCAATAGTTGTTTTTATGAATCATTTTGGAGATTCAGAAAACGAACATGTTTGTATGAATCAACAAAATCAATATACACATGTTTGATAACAAAAGATAAGAGAAATCTAGTAAGATTCATTTCTATAGTATATTTAACTTATTTTTCTGCTAAATGGAGGAACAAAGGGTGAGTTTTTCAACAAATATTTGTGAATTCATAGTGTTTCATTCATAATTGAATATTTTCGATCAAAATTAGCAACAGTTGTTTTTATCATTTTGGAGATTCAGAAACCGAACATGTTTCAATGTATCAACAAAATCAACATACATATGTATGTATTCTATACTATATTTCACTCACTTTTTGCTAAGGATGGAGGAACATACGGTGAGTTTTTCTAACAAATATTTGTATATTCATACTGTTTCATACATAATTATAGAATTCGATCAATGCTGAGTCGAGAATATGTTTGGTCCCCTTCAGACAAATTCATACAAAACCAGTTCTTGTGTACTAAATAAAGACTAACAAGGGTTTCGAAACTATAAGAGCAAGCTCTTTTTTGACACTGAAATGAAGGGTTGAAATCCTGTTCTGATATGTCCAGACTTCTATTGAATATTTGAAGGTCTTATAATGATGCTGTAGGATATAATCAGAATCGAAATTGTTCAATTATAAGAAGTAATATATAAGATCTATACTGAAGGAAAAAAGGTTATATTACTCCTGGACCAATGATTCGATTGGTTGATTCTCATTCATTTTATTCCAGTGATCTGTATAACTGTAAAGAGTATGACTTTTATTCCTTATTTTTTGAATGATCTTATTCATTATTTCATTTTTATTGCTCTACAAACTCATCTTATAACAGGAAATGAATTTGAAGTGGTATAATATATTATACCTCAACACAGAAATTTCTAATGTCGTACCACATTTATTTTGGCATCTCTGAAATCATTAAATGATAGTCTATTGAAGCGTATTGATGTCTAGAAATCGGAAATATAATCAATCGTTTTCGGTGTTAAGTTTTCTTTTCTATGAGCTGGCAAATATGTTAGAGAACAAAAAATAAAATGAGAATCCATCATCTGCTTTTGTATGAATTGTTATATAGTTTCATCTTATACATGGTGTATCCGGAATGGGGTCGATGAGACATAATGACACCATAAATCACAAGAAAAAATCGATTTGATAATTTTTAAGAAAATGTGCGTTCCCACCATAACTACATCTTCAACTATTTTTTAACGTCTGTCAATATTGCAAAATCCATTGATAGTTTCGGTGCTTGTGATCTCTTCGAAATCAAACGCTTGGGTTGGGCTATTAAGAGTGGGCAATAGGACTGGAAAAATGATGAATACAGCGCTCTCGCTCCTGACGCTTTATGGGAAAACAGTTTGGCATATAGTACATTTTTAAACGCCATCATATAGACAAAGGTTCAAATTAGGGCGGATACTATCTCATTTTTCAAAATTCGAAAAAAAAAAGTTTCAAAAATGTATTTGAATATAGCATTATTAGCTGACGAAAAAAAAATATTTATACTGCTTGTTCAAGATTTTCAGATAGTATCCGCCCTAGAATGAACCTTCAATATGCTACAGAAAAAAAATCAAATCATAATGTGGCTTGGTTTCTTCACAAAGCGTCAGGAGCCAATCCTCTGCAACCTCAAAAATAGGCATAAGTTCACGATGATATTTGCGCCCTCTGGTAAAAGTTATATCAGAAGAACATGGCAGTCGATATAGCCTTAGTTCGGGTGATTTGATGAAATATAGAAATAATGAAATTTAAAAATAACCTATATAAATTCATGAAATTTCAAAAATAAACTAGTAGGTATTGATTACTTTGAGACAAAAATAATTTATTCTTCATACATTTTGAGAAGTATCATTTTATAGTTCGTTCGTCAATTAAGTGAAATCTATTGAATAATCTGATGCGTAATTTCACGCGAGTTCATTGCCTCAAGTGCCCATAATTTCGCTAAACGCAAAAAATCGCCTACAATAATAGAATACGTATAGGTGGTTCCCCGAACGGGTTGTTTTTTACACGGCGTAACATCCTGAGATGCAGGGTGATGCAGGATGCAGGTATACGTTTATGGTCAATGGAATAGAGAGCTTGAGCTTCTGAAATTTGTAGGTTTTACAATTTTGTATTTAGTGCGAGTGTAATATAATAGTGGTAGGTCATTAATGATTGATGACATTATAAAAATGTTCAACATCCTTTGAATGTTTACGAATCCAGGTAAAATGAATCAATGTTGAATATTTTCGTCATGTCAGTAGTTTGATCCGCTTTATGCAGAAACGTTGAACTTTGTATTTGGTGTGGAAATGTTTTTGTGTTTGTGACTATATGTATTGAAAATGCCGCCTATAAAACCCAGGGCAGGTGATTATCGTAAGGGAGAAAAAACAAAGTCACATGTGTCGACAAAAAGACGTAGCCGGACGTAGGATATCAAGGGGGAAGAAAAATATCAGTATCGGTCGAATGTTATGTTCATTCTCTTCACCCAGACACCCCTATTTTGGAATTCCAAATGGCACCCCCTACTTCGAGATATATAAAATTCAAAGTCTAGCAATAATAACCAACCAGATGGAAAACTATCTTAGTATTCGATCCATAAATATCGGGACATAATCATTAAATTAAGTTATATTAGGTCAGTTATTACAGCCAAACATTTTGTCAATTTTCATTGAAGGTATCCTCAGATCAATTTTTGTGGAGTCACATGTGGAAACAATGGTTAATAAAACTCAGCCAGAGAATATGGATGTACTCAAACTGATATATTTCTCGAAAAGTAGACAAATAAATGGGAAAACGTTTCAAAAAATGTTTCAAGAATTCTAGAATAGGCTGTACTATTGAACATCAAATATTGAAGCATATTTTCGAATAATTGCTTCAAATACCTCTGTCAAAGATCACTCGCTCTCTCTAACTTTTGTTGATCACCAACATGAATCATTGAAATAAATTATTATTCATCTGGTCGGATTGGTTTTTGTTTCCGCCTCAATTTGATGTATCTCAAGTTGCCATTTGGAATTTTATAAAGTAGAGGTGGCGGGGGTTTGAAGGGATGATCATAGCATTCAATAGATACTAGTATTTTATTTCCTCCTCAATATCTGAATCAACCTATTTTTTTCCATAATTGTTATCATCGCACATCATAAGGCTAAGTGGTAAGTTTTGAAATCAAAGCTCTGTACTATGAATCGAGGAAATCGCCTATTTTGTAATATTCTCAGCTGAAACTGAATTTCAAAATTTTCTCTTCCAATGAGGAATTGGTGAAATAATCAACAATATTTCAATTTGTGCTAACTTAATCCACATCATAACATTTTTAACAATCGCCGCATATCATCGAGTTCAACCCGTTTCTATAAAGAGCACCGTACCATGTTCTTGACCTCACACAATATACCTCTCAATTCACAAGTTCTTGCGCTACTGCTGCTGCTGTTTTATATTCCACTTCAGCTGTGCTCAAAGCAACATAGTATCTAATGCTTTTCAAAGAACCAAGATACTGATTTTTTTTTACGGCTATAACACAAAATTGCTTTCGTTTTACTATGTTTGATATCACAATGACTTCATTTTGTTATTATTTCACAAATTCTCATCTCTCATAAAATATAAAATTTCAAGCAATGACATCAACTCTGTCTAATAGATCAGCATCACTAAAGAGTGAGCAATGAGCCGCACAAAATAACAAATTCAGCGCTCTCGCTCTAGACTTCCCATTTCGAAACCATTCAATATTTTCAGAATTTTTTCGATTCATGCTCTAGCCAAAGGACCAAGCTAGGTTGAATACTATCTCATTTTTCGAAATGTTTAAAGAAAGAGTGGAAAAAACGTTCTCGAAAAGTGCTCAAAATTAGTCAATTTGGCAAATAAAAAAAAATACGTGTACATGAAATAACCAATTTCCAAATAGTATCCAACCTAGATCTATCTGTCAACAAACCACACAAAAAAAGCAGCTCGAAATAACGATTGATGTCTATATACGACGTCAAGAGCCGTTGCTCTACATTCTCACAAATACGCACGATTTGGTAGATGATATTTGCGCCTACGTAAATCACCCTGTAAAATATAACAGAAAAGTTAACTTTAACTGACGTTACAGTTGAAATTCAAGAAAATAATGATTAAAGCCTACTCATAGTATCTGATGAGTCATTTCGTTTGCTTCTTGGTTTTTCAAGATCGGATTTTCAAAAGCAGCGCTATGGCTTGAGGCTTTTAAAATCCTAATTTTTCCACACCTCTCGACCAATGAAGAGTGTCGTAAATCTTCATAACATATGTAAACGTAATGGATATAACCAAGGATATAACACAATCAAGGTGTTATCAAGTTAGATTCTATGACCGGATTACCCGATGAATATAGGTAGAATACATTTCGCTAGGAATCTGCTAGGCAGATTATTGGCAATATAAATAAATATTCGGACGCGGTAATCACCCCGACTAATTGACGAACCGGGTGAGTTGTCCTTTTCTAAAAAGGATGCTTGTTGATTTATGACTGTTTTGTAACCGCCCACTGCTATCTCTTCCTAACCCCCCCGGACCTCAGGTATAGGCGAGAATTGTCGCGTTTCTCAACCTTAACCTCTGATTAATGATTTAGAAGAATTTCAGGCAAACTTTGATGCTCAATATCTAGTTTTCTTTGTCAAAAATGTATTATTTCATTTCGTTTTGTTTTTCCGTCTCTTATCAACCATTCCATTGATCGCCCCTATTTCGGAAACATCCTGTATAATATTATATTCGACAGTGAGTAGTTTTCTCAGTGAAAAAACCAAAGATCTAATGATACTCTTCTACAACACGTGTGGAGGGAGAGAGGGAGAGAGAGAGAGAGCAATTGAAAACAACATAAATATAAGCAACAAGATTTGTACCCTCGCTTAAGAAAGAAGAAATAAATTAAAAGTAAAAAAAACTTTTTAATAAAAAGCTTTTATTTGAACGCTCTAAAAAGAAGAAAATAAAATGTTTCTTAATAATTTCAACTATCAACTTATAACCTCATTATACACAATTTATATGATCATAAAAGTTTGTCGCGCGATTCACTTGTGTGAATGAACTAGTACTTATTTAATTATGTAAAATCTGCTGAGATAAAATTGTTTTTAATTACAATTTAATTAAATATTGATCATCGCGACAAGCTTTTATGATCATATAAATTGTGTATAATGAGGTTATAAGTTGATAGTTAAAATTATCAAGAAAAATTTTATTTTCTTCTTTTTAGAGCGTTTAAATAAAAGCTTTTTATTAAAAAGTTTTGTTTTACATTCAATTTATTTTTTAATTTTCAGTTATCGCTAGCTGGATTTTTCGATTTACTCTCAACGGGCCTTTTCATTTGTATATTAAAAATAGCTATTCCGCCATCTTGGATGGTCCGCCATATTCGATTCAGAATGACGTCACATCATTTTTTGAGTTGCTTTCAACGAGCCTTTTCATTTGATACCCATATTGTAAAAGTATATCAAAAATAGCTATTCCGCCATCTTGGATAGTCCGTCATATTGGATTTAGAATAACGTGACACACCTTATCGTGCATTGTCATCCAAACTGAACGTGTATACAAAATTTCAGCTCAAGCGGTTGAAGATTTCTACCTCAAAACCCGAACCCATACAAACATACAATGCAAGTTAAATAAAAGATTTAATAATGACGAGAGCCAACCAAAGAAAACCACAAACGAACACTTATCACGTGACAGAGGAAAAACGTTTCACTATCTATGTTATACATGCAGCCATATTGATGGACCTTCCTCTTTTTTTTGGTGAGAGCTCTTATTTAACTTGCAATGTATGGATGTATGTATGTTAGTTCGGGTGAAATCTTTGAACTCAATTTTGAAGTAGATATCTTCAATTGAGCTGAAATTTTGCATACACGTTTAGTTTGGATGACAATGCACGAAAGTCATTCTAAATCCAATATGGCGGACCATCCAAGATGGCGGAATAGTTATTTTTAATGCACTTCCACAATATGTGTATCAAATGAAAGGACTTGTTGAGAGTAACTCGAAAAATAATGTGACGTCATTCTGAATCCCATATGGCGGACCATCCAAGATAGCGAAATACTTATTTTTAATGCCCTTCCATAATATGGGTATCAAATGAAAGGACTTGTTGAGAGTTACTCGAAAAGTAATGTGACGTCATTCTAAATCCAATATGGCGGAATATTTATTTTCAATTCACTTCTACAATATGGGTATCAAATGAAAGGGTTCGTTGAGAGCAACATGAGGTCTCCTAATTGAAGAGTTGGACTGTTCGAAATTAACCGGCAAACGACCTTGCAACAATGATGCGTTGAATGAAATGAACAGACTAAGAAACCAAGCCAGCGATAACTAAAAATTAAAAAATAAATTAAAAGTAAGAAAAAAATGATAAAAAGCTTTAATTGAAACGCTCTAAAAAGAATACAATGAAATGCTCATTTATAATTTTAACCATCAACTCATAACCTCATTATACACAATTTATATAATCAAAGCTTGTTGCGCATTTACTTGTGTGAATAAACTAGTACTAATTTAATATTGTAAAATCTGCTAAGTTTGAATTTTTTTAATTTCAATTTAATTGACTATTGATCGTCGCGACAAGCTTTTATAATCATATAAATTGTGTATAATGAGGTTAGAAGTTGATAGTTAAAATTATTAAGGAACATTTCATTTCATTCTTTTTAGAGCGTTTAAATAATAGTTATTTATTATACAAGGGAAAAATGTAGATTTTAGCTCCAGGTTGTGTTGTCTCCCGACGTGTAGCGGAGGGAGACAAAAAACCGGGAGCTAAAATCTGATATTTTTCCCGTGTACAATACACTAGTTTTTTCTGTGACAGAAGAAACGACGAATCAATATTGAGAAGATATTACATTATTTCGAAATCTGAAAATTATCGACGTGAAATTTTAAGTTTTTAACAGTAGGGACACCTGCGTTGTAGGCATCTTTATCATTCTTTTGAAGTAATCAAATATCTGATGTCACTTCTGTCAGTCTAATTCTATGATTTGATTTCAACAAATTGCGAATTTAGTGGTTGTTTAGTAATATACATAACCGCGAAGTCGAATGGAAGATAAAAGGAATTGCAGTTCTTTCTCGGAGACGGTATTATTGACTTATTTTTCGGAACTATAGCACAACAAAAGCTATCAAGCTATGTGATATATATACGGGAAAAAAGTACTTATTTTCCCACAGGAAAAAAGTAATTCATGAAAAGTGACATTCAATAACCTGCCAACAGAAAAGAAATGCCAAACTTTTTTCCCGTCACAGAAAAAACACTTTTTATCAATTTTTAAACTTTATTCACGCTGTTTTCAATGCTCTGTACAGGACGGCAAGGTAAAGGAGCACCATGCAGTTGATACTATCAGATCTTTGGCAAAGAATCTACCTGCATAATAAAACCACACTTACTGGGATAGTTGCGTCTCATGATTCTTCACCCTATGACCCTCATCGACAATGACATACTGCCACTGGAAACGTTTCATGAAAGTTCTCTCTAATAGAGGGATTTGATAAGACGTCAGCACTACGGGTAGGGTCTGGTGCGATCCAATGCTGTATTTCTTGTGAATCGCTTTGTATTGTCTCGCACGTTCGAGCTCATATCCATGGAACAAAACTACCGGGATCTTGGGGGCGAATCTTGCGAACTCAGACTGCCAATTCGGTAGGGTCGACAGGGGTGCGACTATGAGGTATGGGCCGAGAATGCCTCTTTCGAGCAGGTGGCCAATTAGGGCTATGACTTGGATCGTTTTTCCCAGACCCATTTCGTCAGCGAGAATTCCGTTTATTCCATTCTCGTATAATCCCTACAGTATGTGGAATTATAATAATGGTTGTCTAACATAACGTTCTGATAAGAAGACTTATAACTTGAGAGACAGATAGTTCTGAGAAATATACAAGTTTTTTTCATTTGGTAAATCGAAGTTGATAGAAATTAGGAAGTCAAATGAACATCAAATCGATTAATTCAGAAAACATGATCCCGCGGTGAGTACACAGAACTCAAAGATCTAGAAAGCTAATGCGAGTTTGAGAAATCATTGAAATCTGATACAACCAGTGTGCTTACGGCAATGGTGATTATGCGCACATTGTCGCGCACATTTTCGGCAACATTGTCAGTAACTCATGTTGCCGAAAATGTGCAAATCTCATATTTTTATGCGTTAGGATGTCATATATTTTACAAAAACTACTTGTAACGAAACTTAGTTGCGTCAAACAACGATCAGGGTAACCATTTCATAAGTATTTGCCCCAGATTTCATTTTATGTATGTATATCATATCCAAAGAATTATAGCAAGGAAAAGATTTTTAATGCTTTACTTCCGAAGGATGTATCTTCCTGGAAGAGCATTTTGAAAAAATTCAAATATGCATGCCGCCATATTTTTTAATTAACCATGGTGAATTATCGCTAATATAGCCTGAACAACCCTTTATATTGGCTCGCCGATTTCTATCCAATGAACACTTTAGTTGATGGAAAATACATCGAAACATTACTCCTTATAACACAAAGGAATTTTACACAATGTTTTGTTCTTTGAAGAAAGCCACAAAAACCTAGTAATTAAATAATTCTGAATCCGCCCCTGGCATGGTCGCGTCTTTACTGCGCATGCTCACATTTGCCATTCGAGCCACGTTAGGGAACACTCGAATAGAACGATATTGGCCTTCTTGGTCTTTGAGTTCTGTGGGTGAGTATGAGTTCAGCCTATTGACCATAAGCATACAGGAAGATTTACGTAGGCTAAACAGAAGTTTTCCAACTTTCAATTGGATTAAAAAATTGTTATGCTGTTATGGTCGATAATCTACCTGAAATATGTTTAGTCCTCCAGTCATATACAGGGTGTGCCAAATGTCGACATCAACTTTCTCATTTTAAATACGCCACTTTCTATTTGGCTGTGTGGGTAACACCGGAGCTACTCCAGAGCATGAAAAACAGGCAGGAACGCGTTTTTTTGTTAGTGGTTGAAGCCCCGGTGCTTCATAGTCCTACACCACCTACCTTCTTTCTCACTGTCGAATGACAAGCTATTTTTGGTTATTTGATTGTTTATATTCATACAATACACGTAATAGCAAGAAGTTATTCTTACCCAATGCATCTATGGAAGCCTATAAAAAATCCATTTGCTTCAAAGGTGTTCAAATATATAATCAACTGCCTGTTGATATAAATAGACTTAACGCTTGGTCAAGCTTTGAATTGATCTGGCTACATCTGTAATCTTTTTGAGAACTTTCATAAAAATGCAAAATAATGGTAAGTAGTGACTAATTCTGTGATATAATTAGGCTATTTTTAATACTACATTGTAACCAATGTATCTGACAAAATGTACTTTGTATATTTTCAACTATTATTTTTCTGCAGAGTGTATGCACAGGGGGCTATCATTGTGAAAGTTTACTAAGATGCGTTCTATTTGGGAGTAGCTCAAGTGCAATAAACACTGGGCTGCTCAGGAGCATGAAACATCAAAATATAAGTGGCTATTGAGTCCTACATTTATTTCACACAGTTCGATTTGCCCTCTGATTCTGAGTTTCATAAATTGGATACATTTCAAAATTTAGAAAAGGTAAACAATATGATCGAAAGCGCAGGGGCCTTTTTATTTCACATGGTTCGATTTGCTCTCTGATTCTGAGTTTAGACAACCTAATTTCTGTCAACTTATCTATAACTGATTTTGATATATGTAAGATAACGCATTTTTTGCTGTTTAAATAATTCGATAAAGGTTTCAGTTGGTTATAGGAAATGCTCGAGTTACTCCTCAAAATCCAATTTTTCTTGAGTAACTCATTCCCAAATTCAATTTTCTTTCATATGGAGTCAAATTTTAGTGACCTATGTAATATGTATAACTTGCGTCATGAATTTTGTTGATACAGATGTTAAACTTCATTATTTATCATTGCATTCGTTCAAAAGTAGCAATTCATTTTTATTCCAAATTTCAGGAAATATTTAGAAAAACATACTTTTTATGCAGTATTAGATTTGAGGGGAAATTATATCAAATATTACAACATCTAATCACACCTCAAAAAATTGAGGATATCTTTACCTACTGTTAAATGTTCGGGAACCGGAAATATTTTAAGAAATCATATTAAGGACTTTCCTTTCAACAAACTATAAATGTATTGGAATAATTTCATAATTTTCAGTGGCAAAAAATGAGAAGATGTGTCAATAATATACTATACACAGTGAATTGTTCATATTATAATATCTGATTGTGGTATATTTTTGGTTGGAAATAAACACCTGGCTGGCTGATACCACACAATATCAAAGTATATCTGTTATGTATGAGATGACCAAATTCACGAATATACTGTATTCATAACTAAATTATAGTGAAAGAGAACTATCATCAGTAGAACACTCACATACATCCATTGAACTCCTTCAATTTGATAGTCTCTTAGTGAACCACCCTCGAAGTATTTCAGTTTTTTGCGAACATCTGTAGGACCTGTAGAATAAATATATATTGAAAATAATGTCTTAATTACACCAATGATCGAACAATATTCTTCCAAAAACCCTAAGAAAATATACAGGCTGATTCACGGTGGATGGCACATTAGACGTTTCTGGTGAACCAGACAACGGATCATTTTGAAAATCCAATGGAGGGCATATTCGGACATTCTCTAGCCAACTAAAATATTTTCGACAATGCGGTGTTGCCGCTTCTATTAGAAAGCAGTAGCAACTTTGATTTTTCAAATGGAACACTCTGTATTTTATTGCATTTTTAGATTCTCCTTGAAGAGCTGATTTCATCGATGTATCACACTTGGGGTCTAGCGGAAATGATTACAGAGGTATAGGGTGTGAAAAATCGACATTTTTCAACTTTAGGGTTTTTTTGTGTCGAAACTATTCATCATTGGTCAAAACGGTTTACATGTCCCTATCTCAACTTTTGATTAACTATCTACTGATATTTAATTGGGACATATACCGGGTGATCAAGATTCTGAATTTTGTACCACCCTGTATTTGTTTCAATTAAATGTTAGTAGATAATTGATCAAAAGTTGAGACAGGGACATGTGAGCCGTTTTGACCAATTATGAATAGTTTCGACAAAAAAAATTCCTAAAGTTGAAAAATGTCGATTTTTCACACCCTATATCTCTGTAATCATTTCCGCTAGACCCCAAGTGTGATACATCGATGAAATCAGCTCTTCAGGGAGAATCTAAAAATGCCATAAAATACAGAGTGTTCCATTTGAAAAATCAAAGTTGCTACTGCTTTCTAATAGAAGCGGCAACACCGCATTGTCGAAAATATTTTAGTTGGCTAGAGAATGTTCGAATATGCCCTCCATTAAATTTTCAAAATGATCCGTCGTCTGGTTCACCAGAAACGTCTAATGTGCCATCCACCGTGAATCAGCCTGTAGAAGTACGTTATTTTTCTTACAGACCGGAACTGAATTTTGGATCGCGGCAGATTGTGTGTACCATATGAAAATACATTGTTCTTTTGCAATTTTTTGTAAAATTTGTATATTGCTACTATGAAGTTGGGAACCAACTCCTCAGAATTCGAAACTTGTGCGGGGTTAGGAAGAGCGGGTCCTAGAGGTCATAGTTTAATCCGAACCAATTCTAGGGCATCGAGGTGCTGCTAGGATTAGAACCATGAATCACACATTTCAGTGCATAAATAAACAGCGCGTTCTGAAATTGTTCATTCAGTTTGCTTTTCAGCGAATGTATCTTCAATAAGTTGTTTCACTATTTCAGGTACATTCATTTTTTTACACACATAAAATATTTTATTTCTGACAGTGACATTATAAGATTATATCGTCATAGTTACGATATCTATTATGAGGGTCATAACTCCCTTGGGATGTTATAGATGCTATAATTCCCTCTAGCTAAAATTAAATAAGAAATGCATAGCAACAACCACGCAATAACGTAGCAATAAGGAATCTCCTATTCGCGGTAGTCAAGATCATCATCTGACGTTCTGATGACATTGAAACTATACGGAAAAACATGTCTAACTTCCAATCGGGAAGGTATCTAATGAATGAAATCAGTCAGAAATAAAATTATCTATGTATCACGGGAATTATAGAGCCTCAATAACCTCTGGCAATTGCTGTCCCTCGGGCCAGAGGCCCTCGGGACGCAAACTTTGCCATCGGTAATTAAGGCCCTCATAATTCCCTTAATACATAAATAACTATAATAACATGGTTTGCATCAAGCCATTAGTGAAAGGATGAATATTGATAAAATTGATATTCTCAGTGATATGGATATGATGTTGAATGTCATAAAGAATATATGTATAGATATGTGAGATATATAAAAGTTACTCATACATCTAGATGTGTTTGTGAAAGAGAAAAGCTACTCAGTTCATTGAATAGAATAGAATATTACATCCATGGTATACAAGTTATGGACACATCATACAAAGAAAGAGGAAAGTTAAAAACAAAAAAAAGTAGAAGTGATAAAATCAATTAAAATTACAAAAGCACTAGTTGTCTACAAGTCATTGTTGATCAACTCACAAAGTGGTTGATTTTGTAGAGACTCTTTCCGACAAGAATCTTTCTCAGCGTTTTTTTAAACGATCTAATGGCAGGTCCCTGATATCTGTGGTGAGAGAATTGAAAAGAGATATTCCTATGGATTTGCTCTTTTCTAATCTCCTTCTGTGAGGTACAATGTTATGTTTATATCTGGTATTATGATCATGAATGCCTAATTGTGTGGTGAATGTATATAATTTTTTTTTTCAACATGAATGAGATTTTAATAGAAAATTTGTGAGTATGAGGTCATAATCTTGAAAAAATGGTTGGCAATGATCAGTATAATCAACTTTTGCAATGCTTCGTACAGCCGCTTTTTGTACTGTACACTATTTGTAGGTGTGTGAAGCTTGAATTAACCCAGCACAGCAACCCATAGCTCATCACTGAATGAAACATTGCATAGTATGCTGTTAGGGCAGCTTCTTGGCTCACAGTTGAAGCTATGCACCTAATGGCTTGCTAATTTACTACAGATCATAAACATAAACATATTCCCCATATCAGGAAGATTGCATCGCTGTCCGAAGTTACATAATTCGATGTAATGAATGACATTTTTCATGATTTGGTTGAAGTTGACAAAAACAACATCAGTTGTGTGTTTTCTAAACCATCAAATTTGTTTTTTTTTTATTGGAATCGGAAACAAAATGGCACTGTTTCAAAAGACCTGCATGTAAAATTGTCATTGAGGCTGTCCTTCTTAGAATATGTACCTTTAATTTTTGAACTGCTGCCTCCTCTTCTAATATCAACTGCCTCCTTCATATCTTCTACTGTTGGTTGTAATTTATTATTTAGCTCTTTCAAAGGTTTCATAGGGCTAAAACGCAATATATTTAGTTGACAATGCTATGTATGTACAGGGTGTCTCACTTAATGAATTTCTGAATCTGCGCCCACTTTTTCTTTATATCAACAGAATACAAGGCGGCTCCAGAGAAACTTTTTTTTCAAATTAAATGATCTATATTTCTTTCCATAATTCGATGAAGCCCGATCAATCTGAATTCAAAAATATATATCATTAACATATTATCAAATAAAATTTTAATCATAGCAAATTTACCTTAGCCACCCTATATTTTGTTGATATGGAGAAAAATTGAGCACAGATTCAAGAAATTCGTGAAAAATTATTCCAGAAAAGTATTTGAACCCGTACAGGATGATTCAAACTTTCCGCCCTTGGCTTATAACAGGAAAATTAAAACTGCAAATGCAAATTTGGCAGAGGGAATTTGAATAGCTGTGGGTGAGGTATATTTTTTTCATATTTCAACTCTTTTCAAAATGGCGGAAATGGTGTTAGAAAAATCATGTTTTCCACAAATTCACCATTTTGTTCTCATATTCTGAAAGAGCATATTTTTCTGAACAACTTTCAGCTAAAAAGTTTTTAGGTTAAAACCTATGGGACTCTGAAGTTAGTATTTTTTAATAAATCTCAGTTGAGATTTATTTTGAACATTGTTTAGTCATTCCCATAGCTATTAACCAAATGAAGGTAGAAAAAAAAGTTCCTGGGTGGAACTTCATTGAAAGAATATGAGAAAAAATTATGACTTTGTGGAAAAAATATGTGTTCTGGCACCATTTCCGCTATTTTGTATGAGGTTGAAAAATGTTTAAATAGGAAAAAATATACCTTACACACAGCTATTCAGATTCCCTCTGTCAAATTTGCATTTGCAGTTTTTATTTTCCTGTTATTAGCCAAGGGCGGGAACTTTGAATCACCGTGTGCATGTGTGAAAATATGCGCCTTCCTTTTTTTTTCAAGTACTTTTTATTCAAACAATACAACAACAAGACATTTCACAATCATTCCCACAAAAGTTGTTTCCTAATTAGCAAGCTGCTGGTCCCGGAACAAAATTAAAAAATATACAATAAATATGTATATTCAAACTGACAAGACACACAATAACCATGAAAATAACTACTCAAAATACATTTGTTGGTTTTACTCAGACACATTTAAAATCACCCATTTCTCTAAACAAACTATCAATCTTCTTCTTGAACATTTATTTTATTTTTATATTTGTTCAAGTTAGGAATATCTCTCTTATACCGTGGCTGACTGTTGAAAGTTTTAAAACATTTGTTGTTTTCTGTTTGAAGCTATGTTTGTTCTTACATTACTACTGTATAAATTGTTTTGTCTTCTGGTATCATGATAGTGTATGTTGTTCAACATCTTTAACAGTGAATTACATTTGAAATTGTTATTGATCATTTTGTACAAAAAAAATGGTTTTGCTCAATTTTTAATATTTCTGCTATTTGAACAAAAACCAGTTTCTATATAAAATACATCAGTTGATTATATTATTATTTAGATAATCCATTCATCAGTAGAGTGCACCTATCATTGGCACCACTTTTTTAATATGCTGAACATGTATGCTCCAGTTTATGTTTTCACCCAAGAATAATTCCAAATATTTTGTACTGTCATTTCATTTCCTATTCTTATTTGTGTATCAACTGAGTTCATATTTTTCTGCATGAATAGCATATAAGTAGTTTTTTTCAAATTAATTTGTATTGTGATTTTTATCATCCATGGTATTCCTCCAAATCATTGTTTACCCCTATGTCCAGTTCTCTGAGATCTGTCCTTGTATAGACCAGAATTGTATTATCAGCAAAAGTAAAGTATTTTGCTTTTTCTAGACTTCTCACAAGTCCTGTATATAAGAAGGGACTCAAAACTGATCCTTGAGGAACTCCATAATAAGTTTCTTGATTCTCACTGCATAATATGTTCACTAGGCTAACATATTGTTTTCTATTTAGAAAATACATTGTGAGTAATGTTAGCAGATTCCCTCTGATACCTATGTTTTCTATTTTATTCAAAAGTATTTCATGATTGACTACATACAAAGCCTTCAGCAAATCTATGAAAACTGTCAGTACAAAATATTTTCTATCAAGCTTGGATAAAATGTAATTTACAAAATCCATCATTGCACTGATGGTGCTACTGTTTCTTGGAAACCACAATGGTACATATCAAATTCTACATAAGTTTCAATGAATGTTATGATGCGTTTTTTAATTATTTTTTTAATTAGTTTTGAACGTTGACTGATGACCCTTATAATAATACAAAAAACATGAAATCGAGCAAACAATAATCAACTCATTAGAATAGATTCTTCGGATATATTGAGAATTAATTAAATAACGAAATTTATACTTACTTAGGTTTGTTTTCAACAATCTTCTCTCTGAAGAAGTCAGAGTATTTCTCACTGATACTGAGTAAATATTTCATACCCTTGACAGCTTTTTCTTTCCTCTTTTTCAATGCCATCTCTTCTTCCTTCTTTCTTTCTTCTGCTCTTTGTTTTTTGAGTTCCAGTTTTTTCTCAAGAGCTTCTTTTTCCTTAAGAGCTCTCTTCATTTCCAATTCTTCTATGTCTGGATGATCCATGATCATATCACGGCTTGATTCAGATGTGATGTCACTGAAAAGCAAAATTGTAGTTTTATATCAGAAAATGAAATCAGAAATGAAATGAATAAACATCAATGAACATAAATATATCATGCCGAATCGCATTTGACTCTATCTACATCATACACACACAGATACTTTATATGTATTTGTATTATAAAGCCCTAAAAAACATAGATAGATAGATAGATAGATAGATAGATAGATAGATTTATTCTTCCGTGAAATTTACATTTTTGGAAACGTCAAGTAAAACATGTGGGTAAAAAATGTAGATAAAACAAGACATACAGAAAATACGGGTTAAAAGTATATGTAGACAGCACTGACAGCAATTATATAAAACTAACTTTAAAACAAACTGACAGCAATTATTATATAAAATTAACTTAAGAACAGAAGGAGCAAAGCGAATTAGACAAACCTAAAGGTGAGTCAACCTTATCCTAATGTACTAATGCTTGTGTAGAAATCCTCACTATTATATAAACACTGGGCTGGTGGCCGTGAGCGTAGAGTCGCTGGCTGTTGCCCAGGCGGTCCGGGTTCGATCCCCGGCGCGAGCACTGAATTAATTTTCGGTAGTTTCGTTGGGCGGGAGGAGATAGGTGGCCAACCCAACATTCTTGGTACCTAGATATCAATCCTTTGGACTGTCCACGGTTACCAGCCGAGTAGTGCTTCGGATGACACTTAAAAAGCTAAGGTCCCCGTCTTCTTAACTCACACAAGTCTCTGACTTTCGAGGGTTGCTTTGCAACTAAGCTGGCGGTTAAAAACACTTTTAAACACTTTAAAACATGTTAATTAAAATTTGTTTTATTTTTTATTTAAATGTTCCTATGGGTAAGGATGATATGGTATCTGGTACTGCATTAAAGAGATCTATGCCTAGAACTCTTGATTTATTTATCCTCTTGCGAGAATGAAGTAGCTTATTTTTACCTCTTGTATCATAGGAGTGTACGTCCATATGAGAAGAGAATTCGTTAATATTGCATTTGATGTGCATCAGATTTTCGAAGACAATCATCGAGAACAGTGACATTATTCCTAATTCTTGAAAGATAGGTCGACAGTGTTCATCAGGTTTAGCTTTCACAATGCTTCGAACTGCAGATTTTTGCAAAATGAAAATCCTTTGTAAATGTTTGTGGGAGGCATTGCCCCATCCCAGAATTCCATAGTTTAAAATTGACTGGAAAAGTCCATAATAAGTGGCAAGACCCGCTTCTTTATTAACTATATTTGTTATTCTGCGTATTGCAAATACAGATTTCGATAATGTTCCGCACATGAAATTTATTTGAGGGATCCACGATAGGGTAGAGTCAAAAAAAATTCCGAGGAATTTTATATCTGCGTTTTCTGATGAACCTACATGTGAAAAAACACGTGTGTTAGTTTTCTTGTCATTCAAGTATAGTTCATTGGAACTGAACCATCTCGAAGCATGATTTAGAATACGACTGATTATGGGATCTTTCTCCTCCAAGTCCTCATATTTTTGTTGGAAAGTAAAACTAGTATCGTCTGCGTACATTACTGTTTCAATTTGCAACTCGTTATCAAAAGTTTTCATGTGATTTGGTAAGTCGTTTATATAAAGAAGAAAAAGGAGAGGTCCAAGGATGGACCCTTGTGGGACTCCCCGTTTCATAATGAGTGTGTCACTTTTGACTTCATTAACAATTACTGTCTGTGGCCTATTTGTCAAATATGATTTTATTAAATTATTTGCAACCCCTCGTATGCCATATGAATTTAACTTATCCAATAGAATAGAGTGGCTAACGCAGTCAAATGCCTTGGTTAGATCAGTAAAAATCGCTAAACAAGAATTTTTGTTTTCGTATGCCTCCTGTATGGTATCCATGAGGAGAACAATTGCATCCGATGTTTTCTTACCGTGTCTGAATCCGAACTGAGTGGGACTAAATATACTATGTTCCTCAATATGTCTGGACAATTGACTGAGAATCGCATACTCTATGATTTTTGATATACTTGGTAATATGTGTATTTGACGATAGCTTTCGGGAAGTGATGAGTCTCCTTTTTTATAAAGTGGGAGAACTTTGGCTGGTTTGAAAATATCCGGAAAAATGCCTTGTGTCAAGCAAGAATTTATTATGTCACACAGTGGTTCTGCAATGTTAAGGGCACAGCATTTTATAAGATATGTACTGAACTCATACACGTCCTGAGTTTTTTTATTTTTCAGTCTCTGTATCAGCTGCAGAACATCAGATGCATTCAAGGGCTGGAGGAAAACTGAAAAAATAGAGAACTCTGGACTTCTTACATTATCATTCGTTTTCTTAAGTTTTTTGACAATTTCATCAGAGTGATTAGCAAAGAAATCATTAAATTGATTCAGATCCAAATCAGTAAGATTACAATGCATTTTATCTCGGCCAATTTCGTGATTGATTATAGACCATACTGTTTTTGTTTTATTCTCCGATTCTTGAATTTTATTGAAATTGTTTTTGCGTTTGATGTCCTGAAGTGTGCATCTATATCTCTCCTTGCATTGATTATATAACTCTCGATTTGATTCGGTAGGATTTTGCTTGTAGTTGTTATGCAGAAATAGAAGAAGTTCTTTTTGATTTTGAAGTTCAGGTGATGCCAAAGTGTTTTTATGAATTTTATGATTTAGACTCTTTGTAGATGGAAATGAATTTCTGAAGTGGAACATTATAGTTTCATGAAAAGCTTTTGCTTTCCCTTCTGCTGACCATACAGACAGATGATGTAAAATTGTTCCTGATTCTGAAACCAATGATAAGACAGGGGTGATAGGTATTAAATATTATATAACTTATTTGTTACAATATCAGAGAAGGAAACTTTCAGCAAGAAGATTACACCAACAATTATTATTCCTGTGATTGATCGAACTGGCTAGTATAAGACATAACCAACAGTAGGTACAGGTATACAATATACTCAGGGGTATGTTAATTAGTATGCCTTGAATATTTATCGACGCGCGAAACACTAATTTTTTTGAAAAAAAATCAATCACCTATATAGGTCATACAAAAAATACGAAATCACGAATTGAAAGGTTTACTGGTCTGAGACAATATTGGAGTCTGAAAGCAGCATGGTTGTAACCACTCCACTATTTTTTTTTTCAAATTTCAAAGTTATTCATAATGTCTGTTCCCACATAGGGAGATCAGCACCCAAACATGCCACACTCACTAATTTCTTGACAGCATTGGAACACCGCAGGAAAGTCGGCGACTTTTCACCTTTCTATAGATACTTCGACAAAAAATATTCTTCAGAAATCGTTCCATCACAAACAATACCAGTCACACGAACTCGACGAGCTCAGTCAGAATTTCCTCTCGTCGTTATCCTCAAGTTATGTCAAACAACTCTCTACCAAACTTTTTTTTTCAATAGAATGACAAAGTATTCCCAAGAACTTAAACCGAATTCCTAGCTCCTCTCTCTATCCTCTCTAGGCACTCATAATGTTCCACAAATATAACAGGTATTGTATACTATGTCTACTGAGCTTCTGATCTGCGTTGATTACAATTTTTGGAATAAATAGATCAATAGAATACTATATTCAACCTCTCCACCCCCAGTCAACCCTACTATGAAATTTCAAACTGCAACCCGTACCTTGAGATGCATGAAATTCAAAGTCCAACAATATCCAAATTGACCATAGGAAAAAAACATTTAGTCTATATGTATCAGAGATATCATTGAATGTAATGCAACTCCTTTAGGAAATGATATGAGATTGACAAACAAATTTTCTACAGGTATTGGAAGCAATAGTTATCATTCTGTAGTATCACTCAAATTCATCTATAATATTGTGAAGAGGAAAGATTTGATTGTTTGTTTGTATGGTTGTTGTTTGCTTGTTTGTTTGTATTGAATATGCTCCGAAACTACTGGATCGAATTGGCAGAAAATTAGTGGGGAGGCAGCTTAGAACCAGGAGAAGGTTATAGGATTTTTATCCCGGTACCATTGGGAAATTCAAGTTGGCGTTGTAATTATTATGGTCCGATTCTATTCAAAATTGGTTTCTGGAGGTTTTCGGGGTCGAAGATTATGATTCTCTTGTCAGAATTTGAAAATTCGGGCGGAATTTGGAAATTCAAGATGGCGGAACCAATATATGGCGGACGAGTTTTGTAATAATAATCAGATTCTTTTCAAAATTGGTACCTATAGGGGTTCTCGGGGTCGGAGATTATGAATCTTTCGTCAAAATCAGGAAATTCAAGATGGCGGATCCAATATGGCGGACGAGTATTGTACAGTCGTATTCAATAAAAAAACGTACAAGTATTAAACATAAAAGATTTCGGCATTCGTTTTCGCTTTTCGATGTGTAAAATTGGCTCAGCCAATGCTTTGTGTTTTTGAGAACCTATGATTACTCTACTATCAAGATCTGGTAAACATTCATTCCCGATAGCCCGTTTTACGCAAATAGACTCATGGTATAGTCTTTGTCAGCCGGTACAACTCACCAATTGATAATGACTCCAATGAGAAAATTTGAAAAAATCTTGATTGAACTGCTCAGATCGAAGTACAAGACCACTTTTTAATGGATTCTATGAATTATAATATTACAAATGAGTTGAAGATTTCAAATAGGTACTAACACAGTGAAGAAGGCCATGGCCGCAGAATGAAAGTTTGTGCAATATCGTTTGGAATGATTAAAAATAACCATAATTATGGTAGATTCTGAGACAATGAAAATCCACAACTAATTTGACAGGACCATACTCAGTTTTCTGAGAAGATCAATGTGTGGCTGGTATTCTAGGAAATGAGGTATGTTTCAGTGGAAAAATGTTATTTCATTATTTCGAAGTATTAAACCTAACTAGTCCACTGTCGTGAACCGATTTTTCCTCAGAGCTCCATACATTTTTTAAATAATTATTGGAATTCACGATATTTTAACATGAAGAGCGCGATCAAACGCGTGATGTTATCACCCGTGAACAA